CTTCACCTAGAAGGAAGGACTATATCATCCGCATATTCTAAGTTAGCGAGATTATCCCCTGGTAACAGTCAATCCCTGAGTCGCTGAAGTCAGTTAGGGTTAATTCCATTAGTACATCTATGATGAAATTAAACAGAAATAGGGACAGTGAGCATTCCTGACGGACACCACTAGTTGTCACCACTTCAGACAACAATTGTCCGTAGGCTCTAACCTGTCCACATGAGTTCGAGTAGAGTGCCTTGATCAGCGCGATTCATTTTCTCGGCATTTCCTTCATAGCCAAGTTCCCTGCACCTAACAAAGAGAAAGACAAAACAGAAATAACAGAAATGCAACTCACTGGGATATTGAGAAAACTTGAAAGTGACCAACTTATCTCTGAAAAGATCTACGAGAGCATTCGACCAACTGGTTCAATAATACCCCAACTATATGGACTACCCAAAACCCTCAGGCAGGGACTTCCGTTGCGCCCTATTTTGGACATGTCCGGATCTCCATACTATCCAATTGTAAAATGGCTGGCAGAACTCCTACAGCCTGTTAGAGAACAAATTTCAAAACACTCTCTTTGAGACACGTTTGAATTCATCGACTGTATTAAAGATGTGAAAGTGGGCGACAACCGCATGATACCACTTTTTGTTTGACGTAAGTTGGGGGGGGAGGGTTGAATTGGTGATGTCCTTGTGGTGTTATGGATCAATTGTTGAACATCCTTGATAAGATGATAGATGTTTTTCTTTTCTTATCATACGCAAAATCCTGAAGTGTGTGGCTGTGGTGAGAGCTGTCTACTAGCCAAATTGGTAGACAGCAATTTACGTCAATGTTTACGTTCCCAAGATTTGTCGTGAGAAAATGTGAACAAAGATTGATTCAAACCACACAGCGACTTGGTAGGCGATAATCGAAGACTGGTTTGTTCGCTTATACCATAATAATGTACATGAAAACATATAAATATGCGTTGATTTCCTTAATAAATGATCTGTTGTCTGACTCTTGCCTTCTGCCGTTACATGGCTAATGGTCACTTATTTATCCTCTCTCTGCAGTACTCACTCATATTAAGTCACAGTATATTTATTTCCTCGTATTTTGAGTGTTTTTTCAGCACTTTTCTGCAAAGTTCTTCATTTCTTTATTTAATCAGAATATTAGAGTGTTCATTTATGAGCGATTACATTTCTTATTTATTTTTTTCTTTTTCTTTCTTTTACACAGAAACTGGATTCAGTTGTTCTATCAAAATCCATGCTGCCTACATCATACTCGAACACTCAGATGTCTCCTGCTTCTTTTCTCGATAATAATAATAATAATAATGTTGATGATGAAGTTAGCAAGTGTTTACGAGATATGTCTTCCGTAGTGAATCGTTTAAAATCTGTTTGGCCACCGAAAGGTCCAAATAAATCTGTACAATTCAATGAAGCAAGAAATATTTTAAAGCATTTATCTGATTTTGTGTATACAAGTTAATTGACTAGTTGTATTGCCTTTTTTTTAAAAAAAATAAAACAAACCCCTTTTCCAAGTTTTAATCAGATTGATCCTTGTCACACATTGTAAACTTAAATAAAAATACCTAAAGTGAAAACAGAAAGGTCTTCTTTCTCAGTCAGTATTTTGCTTCTTTTTACATTACTCGTCTTTAATAGTGTTATTTTTTTTAATGATTTAATTGAGTGACTTTTCAAGAATATTTAGCGTTGATCAAATTTGGAACCCACAGTCTCTGGGATACTGGCAAGCTATGCGTCTTGTCCGTTGTTATACAAGCAGTCTGTTACGGTATACAGTGATGTTTGGCTTCTTTTTTAAGAAATGAAATCAGGAATTTTAATTACGCGTGTAGTTTGCTGCGATTCCTCTTTCCTAACAAATTGGATCTCATTTTTACTGACTTTTGTGTAGATAGTTCCAATTACATGATGGGTGTTTATTGTTAGCAATAACCAATCAACCAAAAGATGTATGCACTGCACACCAGCTCGTTCTGTCCTTCTTAATGGATGTAAGATATGATTAGCTGAACGTCTAAGACCTCCTGAACCTGGCTGTCTTTGGTCAATCGATAAGGCTTTGATGAAACTGCATCGATTGAGATGGTTATCGTATGTGTTATGCATGCTCAGCCACCGCTTTCTTCGCCGAGAAAGGTTAGCTGTCATTGAATTAAGCTTAAAAAGGATTAGGGGTGGACAAAGCGAAACGTTGTGTTAACCCATGAAGTCTTTAGCTGCTGTTTTGAATCAGCCACATAAAGATGTGCAAACTTCCTAGTTGGGGTCTTCAAGATGTTAAGAACCAATGGCTTGAGACTATTGATGATATGGCTCTTTAAACCGTTTTGAGAAGTTAAGTTGCATTCACCCATTGAAAAATCAATCAATCAGGTCTGTAATACTTTAGATACTGACTTTTTAGATTATTTATGATAGGAAATATTCGAGTGAATTATTGATTGTTTCCAATAGTTTTTCTCTTCAAGGATTACAGTGTTAAATTCATAAATATTATCATGGTATAGACCTCTGCGCGTCAATGGTAGAATGCCTACAAGCCACTCAAGTGATCCGGGTTTGACTGATGGCTGACGCATTCTTAAACCTCGCTTGGTATATTAAGCCTAGAAAAGGGGGAAGATTGGGCGTGAGGCTTGCAGCTTCATCCCGTAAAGACGACACCATCACTATTGTTGCTTAAATGTTCAATCTTGAATCCTTGTGTTCCACGCAAAGGAATAGAGGAAATATTCCTGGATAAGACAAAATTGAAATTATATTAGGAAGCGTATTTTGATATAAAAGATGGGATAACAGACCATTAATCCTGTTTTGTACGTTCCTGTCACAACAATAGCATAAGGTAATGCTATCCATTGATCTAAATGGTAGAGCTTGACAATCTACAGTTCAGACTTTTGATCAGTGGACGATAAGCAGTTATACTGCTCCGTTTACTGATGTACTGACAGAGTGATGCACATCGTTAATAAGTTTCATTATGTTTTACCGTTATACTACGGATGTGTTGCTTAATGTCACATCACAACGATTAGGACTCTCGCCGACCATGACTGGTTCGGGTTCGATCCCAACCGATGCACACCTGATATCAATTGGTCGGCCTGTAAAATTTGGGCTACCGATGTCACATGCTGAAAATTCCATACTTGTACCAATAATACGGTGTGGAATCAAGCTATAATCAAAAATTAAAAAATACATCATTAGACCTGAACAAAGCAAAATAGATAGACCTTACTCAACAACCACTTGCAATGCTGTGCAGTTGGCGATGAACTACGCATATTGTATGAGGCCTGGTGACACTACCTGGCTTCTCAAACCTCGATAGGTGAAGCGGGACTTGAACCCTTGACCCACTGGTTGAAAATTGAGTGCCTAAATCAATGAGCCATGGCTTCACAAAGCAAGAACAGCAGATTGAGCAGGGTAATGTGATGTCATTTTTATTTAGTTGCTTCTTCTCGACTACATACAACCGAAAACAAGTTTAATGTCAGTTCAGAGAATACTTACATACTTTAATCAGTTAGCTTGAAGCGATGGAGGTCATCAATACTACGTAACTGAATATACTGAAAGTTGCATGGAAAGAATTTCTAGGTATCAGTGCTTAAATTCAAAGCATACACTGTGACCCCTGACCCGTATTTCGTTAACAATTGTAATTGGTTGATTGGTGATGAAACTTTCAAGGTTTTTTTAAAATTGATCTGATTTTTATACTAAGCAGCACGCTGATTGTACAACATACTGACTAACAACATTAAAGTTTCATTAGAGCTAAGCAGAATTAAGTGTAGTTATATGTTGGCTCTGATAGTTTAGTGACTGTAAATAGCTTTATCCTGCTCCATTTATCGTTTCCTTCTTTCTTACTTTGCATTCCGAGTGGAACATTGAAGTTTCAGTAGTGTTAGAGTTTCGTTTTAGGGATGGGGTTGATAGCCCCATGTCCAACCTTCCCACTTTTCCGGTTTAACAACCTGCTAAGTGAGGTTTAGGGTTGCGTTGATCGGGAATCACTCCCAGACGGTGTGTTCGGTTGGTGAATATTCTGCCAGTGAACCGCCGTTGCACCCATTTGTTGTTATTACGTACAAAACTTATTCAGTTCTATTACTTCCTTATGAACACTGTACCATCGGTCTGAACAGTTTCGTCAATATTCATTTCTGACATCATGGGAAATGATCAAACAGTTCAAAAATCTATATCTGATATTGTATGCTTTTCAAGGAATGAAAATAAAAGTTTTGTAAATTCAAAACAATCAGTCCTATTTAATAAATTTAGATAGAGTAACTAGATGACGTGTTGGTTGGGAAGTGATGGAATACACGCCAACCACATAAGTTGTCTAGGGTTCGATCCCCGGCTGATACACTGCTAAACCTCACTTATCAGGTAGCAAGCATTGTAAAGAGGCTAAGTTGGGCGTGAAGCTACCAGCTCAGGTACTGAAAATTCAAAGCTCGACCTTGAAGGCCTATGTGTTCCCCTTGGGGTGCAAAAGAATAGAAGAAAAAAAACTCGAAGATGCAGTTTATCAGAAAAATGTGGTGTATTTGTGCAATTCATTTCGAACAACGCGATCACATCTATTTGTTAAATTAGTTTTTATGGGAAATTTAAAAAAAAAATGACGGTCATTGTCACTGAGGTGACAGTTTCCGTGATATTAAGCCCGCCTCCTCCCTCTGTGTGTAGAGAAACAATTTATTATTACTCTTAATCAACCTTGGTAATTCTTATCTGATCATAGCACCAGGAGTAGTGTTGATTGTCATCTTTCTTTAAAAGAGTCTACGTCTACTCACTTGATCGCTTAAAGCTATCGTTTTCTATCTAATAAATAAGAAGTGGTACTATATGAGCGAAGTATTTTCATTATAAACATTTTAAATCTTTTCTTTTTCTTCATCATTAACATGTTCTGTGATTTTCTACTTTGGTTTTTTAGATATTTCTCCTGAAATTCAATGCGTGCTGTGATACAACGTGTGAAACAGGCTTCTGTTAGTGGTATGTTAGTAATGTATATATGGTATAATGGTTGTTTATCATCTTGTAACAGTAGAAGATAAGAGACTTCGTTAAGGATTGTACATTTGGAATTTAGTATCTCTTTATAGCGAAATTATGTACACCTTATCTTCAAATTATCATTTGCACAGATCTTCCGTGTTGTGCTACTTCTGCCCTTCTTATTGTCTTTCTTTGTCTTCTTTTTGCGTCTCCCATGCTCTGCCGTAAAGGTGGTTCATTTCCTGTCTTTGATGTCAAATCTCTCTCTTTGCTATTTGATGTTTTTATGCCGATGAATGTCTCTTACTATACTACTGATAACATTTATCAGTAGCACACGCCACAATCTAAAAATTTTAATTTCTATTCAAGTGTTGGTTTGTAGGGATTTGATTGGTTACAGGATTTTCATCATGAGCTGACATTAGTTAGAGAACCATTGGAAAACCTCGGAGTACTGGACAGCTGTTTCGTCCTGGTTTGGAACTCTTCAGCAGTACGCACCCACCGGGATTCGAACCCAGGACCTTCTGGCTTATATATATATATATATATATAAGCATTAAAAAATGTAATACTTCATTGAATATCAAATAAAATCAAGAGGGAAATTTATGCAATAATTAAAGACAGTTAAGACATTGATGGCAAAGGTAGGGGAAGCGTCTGGACTAACTTTTTTAGAGCACGTTAGTTAGGCTTCTTAAGGTGGATTCCGATGGCTTCAGCTATATGAAAAAGAGAAAGTCGTTAGGTGAGATTCAGATTAGTTGGATTGCGGTAGATAACTTTAGAAAAAAACCTTGTTAACATCGATTTTGTCTCCAGTATCTAGAAGATGAGCTAGAATAGAGCTGTGAATAGGCTTTGTCTGTCCCTTGCTTAACAAAACACGATGATGTTCGGAAATTCAACGATAGACATGTCTAATTGTACGCCTAATGTAACTGGTTCTATAGGAACATTTAAGTTGATAAATGCACATAGAGGAGGTACAATTACCTCGTTTGTCCTTAACTCCTGAACGTAAAATAGGAGTAGTTGTGAAGATACAGTAAACTTCAGCAGCATTGAATGCTCTTTAACTGCATTTCCCCTAAGCTTTGTATTATTATTTCACTGATGGTATCATCAGGGAACTGAATTTTAAGAACTAAGTCTTCTTCGGAACTGTTGGTAGATTAGCTTACCTTAGCTTTAAATTCATATTCTTGTGAATGAATTCCTCTAGGTAAAAATTTTCACTCAGTAATTGTTTAATAATATTGAGTTCTTCATTAGAGCAGATTGGTCTCGCTCTGTAGACCAAATAATTTAATAAATTGTGTTTACAGTTTAAACGTACGAAGCTCAAAAAAAAAATACACTAACGAGTTCATGTAAGTTTTCTATATATAGTCCTTCTTATTGTACTGTCCTCTTTTCTGACATTTCGTCTAATAAGTTCTTCACATATAAAATCTACTGTTTCCATCGGTAGTACATTATTATTATTATTGTTTCCTTTAATTCCCAGAGGAACATACGGATTCAGCCTCACGTCTCCATTGCGTTCGGTTCTCTGCCAACGTTTTCACCTCACTAGACGTCTGCCCACATGCTCTCACCTCCTCTTCGCATCGCCTCCTCCATGTCACCCTCGCACTGACGAACAACTCGCTGCTTCCCATTCGAGTTCCACTCGAGCGATGACCTGTCGTGTGATGTTGCTTGATGATTTGTTTTCTCAGAGTATGGCCCATCCACCTCCATTTTTTCCTGCATATTTGTTGCACAATTGGTTTCTACCTGGTTTGTTCATTCATTGTAAGAGATCTCTGTTGCTGATCTTTTCTGGCCGGCCATCTGATCTTGAGTGGTATTGAGCAAAGACAGCTGTTGATGAAGGTCTGTAGTTTGTTCGAAGTGGCCTTCGTGACACGACAAGTCTCTGATCCGTACGTATAGTAAGTAGCACTGACTTCATATTGGAGTTGAAAATTCGGGTCTTATTTTTCATGCTGAGTGCTGTTGACCTCCACACAGACTTGAGAGAAATGAAAGCTTGCCTTGCTTTCCCGATTCTCGCTTATGATATCCTCATCAGTTCCGTCCACCTGTAGTTGAAACGATGCTTCCCAGGTAGGTAGGTAAAGGAGGTTGCTTCTTTCAGATTTCTCCCATTCATGTTGCTGTTGCTGTTGGCCAGGAATCTTCATCACCTCTGTTTTCTCTATGTTCACCTGAAGTCCTATCTTTGATGCTTCTTCTGCCAACTTGTTGCTTTTCGCTTGCATATCTTCCAGTTTGTGGGAAATCAGACATATATCATCGGCGAAGTCCAGATCCTCCAAGTTTTTTGTGTGGGTCCATTTTATGCCTGTTTCCTCGCTGCCCGCTGTCTGTCGCATTATCCAGTCTACCGCAATCAGGAAAATCATTGGAGATAGTAGGCAGCCTTGTCTTACTCCCGTCTTCACTTCGAGGGACTCCGTAAGTTTCCCGTTGTGGATTACTTGACATGCAGCATTATCGTACAACTGTTGGATGAGGTGTATATTTGTTGGCGGCACCTCGGTCGACGCTGTCGAAGGCCTTTTCAAAGTAAATGAAGTTGAGTTAGAGAGCTGACTACCATTCAAGCTTTGTTCAATGATGATCCGTAGTGTCGCGATTTGATCGATGCATGACTTGTTTCTCCTGAATCCAGCCTGTTCCGGTCGAAGTTCTTCATCCAGATTGTGTTTGATTCTCTTCAGGATGATGCGGCTTAGTATTTTGCTTGCGTTAGACAGGAGCATAATACCGCGCCAGTTCTTACATTGACTTGAGTCCGCTTTCTTCCAATCCGCAGGTACCTTGCCCTCTTTTCACACCTTCTCCAGTAGTTGTGTCATCAAGTCCGCTGATGTCTCTTAGTCCATTTTCATTGGCCCGGTAGTACATCAGCGAATAAAAACAATATCATGAACCTTTTGTTAACATTTAAACCTTTTATTCAAAGGTATCTTTTAAGGTGTGTTTTATCAATTCAGTATGTAGAGGCTGTAAGAGTTTGACCAATTATTTGGCTACCGGATGGTATGGGGAGCTTAACACATCTAGTATATAACTGTAGAGCCAGGCGAGGAAGTTATCGTGAAGAATATTCTCTGTCTAGACGTTTTTTGTTTTCTAAATGTTTGAATTGGAATTTCCACTGTATTATTTTCCGTTGTTTGTTAAATTATATCACTTGATCTAATTTAGTTATTATAGCATTCCGATTTTTGGGATTCTACTCATGGTATTTAGTTATCAGCAGTTAAATATAGTGAACTTGAACAAAGGAAGAGTAATAAATGTAGGGCGAGGTAAATATGAGCTCATTTTTGTTTAGATTATGAGTTTTTCAATAGGGATTTGTACTAATTTCAATGTAGATTCCATCATAAACTAACATCAATATGAGATCATTAAAAGCCAGAGAGCAGTGAACAGATATTTCATCCTAGTTCTAAGCTCTTCAGCAGTGCACAGCCACAACCCCACCAGGGATCGAACTTGAGACCTTCAAGTTACGCGGTCAACCTCTTTGACTATTCAACCCGTGAATTTTGACTTCAAGTATTGGTTTTGTAGGGATTTTGTTTGATTGCATGGAGGATTTCATCATGAGCTGACATCAGTTAGAGAACCACTGGAAAACCTGGGAGTACTGGACAGCTGTTTTGTCCTAGTTTTGGGCTCTTCATCAGTACGCACCCACCTACAAAACCAATACTTGAAAATTAATCTTATATTCACTAGCGACTGGCCTTATTCAGGCAGTTAACCTGGGGTTCTAGTGGGAAACCGTGACCAGTAGGGTACAGCAGGTTGAAGATGAGGCAGTAACTCATCAAAGAAGACACTGCGAAATGGTGACGCTATGTCATGAATTGGCACAAGTTAGAATTCATGGGGACTGGCCATTGGATCTGGTCCCAGTGGCCTAATGGTCTACGACCTAGCTCGCCTTGTAACCAGAAGGTCGTGTGTTCGAACCGTGGCGGTGGATGCGTACTGATGAAGAGTTTCAAACTAGGCTGACGAAACAGATATCTGGCAGTACTCCCAGGTTTTCCAGTGGTTCTCTAACTGATATCAGCTCATGATGAAATCCTCCATGCAATTTTGACTTCGTCAATTTATGATATAGCCCTACCCTCAACCATTGCCAACAATGAGCATCCACTTCACCTTGACATGGTGGACCCTACTGGCCAAGACTTCCCAGTACTGCTTCAGGATACCCATTCAGTAGCTATCAATGAGCTGAAGATCGATTATTTATTTATTATTTCACCGATTCTTTTCAACTACTTGCAACCTGTAAAATACAAAAATATAGATTATAAAGAAAATTTCGAAGATACTGTTTTTTTTTTCTCCATAACATGGTGTAATTCATAGAGACTATGCGTAGAACAAATCCAGAATGATGTAATTTGTTAAGTTAATAAGAGTTATCACGACATGTATTCTTCCATATCTTGTATTCTGTTTAGAAAATTGCTTTTTTTTATCCGAACGTCACTCACCTTACTCCTTTTTTCTACTATTTTCTAAAAGCTTATTTCCTGTAACTCCATTATGGATAAGATTTTATTTTGATAAATCACATAGTGTTGTACAGTAATATTAACTAATAGAGAAGATTTGTAGCTCAGGTGGATGATTTGCAATTAATAGTGTTCTCTGAGCTGGTTGGTTTGGTTGCAGAGCTTTCGTCGTCCTTCTGGACAACATCTTCAGCGCAATATTTAGCATAAAGTGAAATGATTTAAATTTCTTCATGAGTGATAGAATTGCGTCTCCCGGTAACCATCTTTACATATGTATTGACCATTTTCTATTGACTTGGATTTTAAACTTTCTGGTCACCTGATTTACTTTTTATTAGTTGGTATATTTCGTCTATATTCTTTAGTATCAATGCATATAGACAATTATGGTCATCAATTTGATTGGGATAATGTCAAAATCTTAGACAGAGGAAACACCAAAAGTGCCAGGGAATTCCTAGAAGCCTGGTACTCAAACGAAAATGCAATTAACAAACACGTTAATATAGACGAAATATACCAACTAATAAAAAGTAAATCAGGTGACCAGAAAGTTTAAAATCCAAGTCAATAAAAAATGATCAATACATATGTAAAGATGGTTACCGGGAGACGCAATTCTATCACTCATGAAGAAATTTAAATCATTTCACTTTATGCTAAATATTGCGCTGAAGATGTTGTCCAGAAGGACGACGAAAGCTCCGCAACCAAACCAACCAGCTCAGAGAACACTATTAATTGCAGGTAATATTAACTGATGACGTTTTGAGCTCAAATTATTGCTCATAATCATATCAAGTCACTCACAAAATTTTTTCGGCTTCTTTTGTGTGAGTGACTTGATATGATTATGAGCAATAATATATGCTTGTTATTGGGTAGAATTCTATGAACATTAAATCTAGCATGTTATCTAATCAAGTTAAAAAAGTTGACGATATTTCCATGACTCAGTGAAGTAAGAAAACTGAAGTGTCCATTCATCACTACTGTCAAGGAAATACCAGGAGAGGTATCAACAAAGATAGTGAATTCATCAGCAAATAAGGCTAGTTCTGAGAGACTACAATGTAGTCCTACTTAGACAGGTGTTTTGGACGACAACATTAACAGTAGCGTTATTGATTTTGTCATTTGAGAAATTAAAGTATACAAACAATGGCAGCAGATCACGCCAGCACCACGTTCATTCTTAAAGCTACGCCGCTGCTGCTGAAGAGTCTTAATTTAGGACAAAACAGCTGTCCAGTACTCCCAGGTTTTCCAATCGTTCTCTAACCAATGTCAGCTCATGATGAAATCCTGTCCACAATTAACTAAATCCCTACAAACCAATACTTGAATCTTGTCTTTACTAATCTGAAACCATCTAGACAGACTGGATTATCGTCATATAGGTGATAAAGCCACGTTTCTCAAAGAGTTATTACCCGTGTATTGCAATATACATTGGAAGACACGAAACACAGCAGGCAGTTAATTTTATGAGGCAGGAAGTGAAAGTTTGTACTTATAATCTCAGGAACAGTCATTTGGTGTATTGGAATACTTTTTCAAGGTTGTTGCCACTCAGAATGATACTTTTTCTTAAGTTTAGTGGAAATTTGCTAATCAGTAGATTGTAAACTTTTTAAATATTCGTAAGAGTAAACAATGCGATTAGAGGTCGTACTCTAATTAAAACAAAGCGAATACAAGAAATAAGATGCAATATCATAATGGAGGGTTCGTTTTGGTAGGCCATGGTTTAAACAGGCTGCCAATTTTTCGTTTTACTGTGAGCCGTGTATAATCTGATGTTATTTTTTCTAAATGTACATTGTATTTAGTAAATAATTCAATTGTCAGTCAAATTGGCCATGGGATACTCGTTCTGATTGGTTTATCCAGACGAGATACGGAAACCGATATAGAGTATATGTAAGATGATACTACTGTTTTTCTTTTGTTTTCTATGAGTGCTTGTTATTCTATTGATAATTGAATAGTCGTATGCGCTACGTATTATTACATTGTTTATTTAGTAAGTATTAACAAATGCTTATGGAAGTGTATAAGTATTAGTGTTGCAAGGCCCAGAGAAAAGCTGTTTGACACCAGCTGCACACTGCCCGTTTGAATTGATTTCTAGAGTTGTGTCCGTATGAAGATCTTACTGCTCACTATGGACCTCTACTAAGTAAGTCGGGGTCTTGCGATTTTTGGGGTCAACCTTTCCTAACCTTTCTCCTCAGAGCAAGAGGCAGCATAACTGGCTTCCTGGTCGTCCGTCCTTACTGCTACTATATTCCTATTCATCAGAAGTACGACTTAGCTTTGAGAAACCCAACATAGTATAAGTGAATTACACTACTATGGTAACAATTTTAAGTTTAACTGCTATCCTAACTACCTTTCTGGTATATCAGGACCTGCTGGAACCTCAGCTCGTTGGGTCGTTTGGATACGCAAGTCTGACCACCACGCTTAGATAGCAGTTGTCAGTAGGGATGAACAGGTCTATCGTCGGTGGCACAGCGGCTAGGACACTCTCCGACCATGCACATGGTCCGGGGTTCGATCCCCGGCCACAGACGCGCTCCTTTACCTCTCTAAGCCAGTAATAGAACTGGAAAAGAGGGAAGGTTGGGCATGAGGCTAGCAACCCCATCCTGTAAAAATAAAAACACTGCTAGAGAAACTTCAAGCCTCTAGTTCTGTGTTCCACTGGGAACGTGAAGGAATAAAAAATCTCGTATTTATAATTCAACATTGTCTTATTGTTTGTCAAACAAGTTGTAAAGGCGATAAATATAGGTGACTTAGACACTAAGAAATCTACTCTTCAGACTGCTTGTCAGTCATACATGTTGTCTTATGAAAAGTTTGAAGTAATTCTATCTGTAGAGAAGAAAATTTCATAATTTGTGTGTTTTAAAGTGATTTTTTTTGAGGGAGCGTATTTCACTTGTTAAATTAAGAATCTGTTTATAAAGACGATTGCTGCTTTTAACATCCACCTAGTTTCTTTTTCGAATTAGAATGAATAAAATGGCATTTTAAACAGTTTTTCTTCAAGATGTAGTATTTATTTCTTTAAAAAATTTACTGACCAATTGATACGCAGCATAAATCTTATTAATTTCGATGCATGATCTACAAAGAACGTCTTCATAATACAAAAGTCTTAAATGAAGCTCTTTTGGTGAAAGTTCCCATATTGGTATATCACTGATGTCGGCTTGCGGGGATTTGATGGATTATATGTTTCATCACGAGCTGACATTAGTTAGAGAACCCTTAGAAAACCAGCAGGAAGTAAATGATAGCTGTTTCGTCCTTCCTCTCCAGGGCTCTTCATCAGTACATACTCACTTTTTAGTTACAAAGCAACCTCGTAAACCATTCAGCTACTGGATCTAGACCCAATGACCCATGAATTCCAACTCCCGTTTGATTTTCAATGTTGGACATCAGTATATCTGCTAAAACAGGGCTAAGTGGACTGCTCATAGCTACACCATCTATTTGGCGTTAAAGAGTGTTGTCAAATTGGAATTGCACATCCATGGTACACATAAGCAGTAGGCGTTTGAATTCCGACTCTGGGAGTGGGAGAAGATCAGACTGCTGACAAATGATATCAATAGTTTCGTTGATTAGAATCATTGTGAACAAGGAGGTTGCATCATGACACAGAAAGAAGGGCATATCTACGATTTTCTGAACATGTACCGAAAAGGTGATTCTGCAAAAACTGTAGTTCTTGCTTTGTTCAAATTCATTAAGGGGAATAAATGTATGAAAAATCTGTATCTATTTCAGGGTAGATTTCGGCCTCTGAACGTAGTATCAGATCTATAAACACCCTCTTCACTTCGATTTCCAAATGTAATACCCTGGTGAATGGAAATTCATCAAAATCTTCGAAGTAGAACAATGTATAGTACTTTAAATTTACTCTTGTATTTACATTTGTTTGCTTCTGACAAGTGGGATGCGTTATAGTGTAACGACAGAAGACAAGGACCAGGCAACATATTGTTTGTTGAGAAAATCAAAAGCTTTTTATAGATTTTTATGTACATTATTGTTTGCCGAGAAGCAAACTCTTCTGATTGGTTGTTTTCTTGCTGAAGGTTATTCTGTCATCTCTTTGTGGCCGTTTCTTAGACAGTCCGGTGATATTCTGAACAGTGTTTATATAATTTACAGAATTTTCAGCGGGAATTACTGAATAATAGTTTCTTTTTGTCGAGGGTCCTCTCTCTCTCTCGAGAAATCCGCAACATTTGGTTTGAAGCCAATTAAAAAATGCTGCAGGAATACATTTTGCAACCCAAAGACATAATTGAATGGTTTAAGACTACAGGTAATTAGTTTTGATTTTTCTGGCAGTGGCAGTTTGTAGTAACAATCTCGGAAACGGTGATCTCATGCATTGCGATACGTTGTAACCCACGATTTGGCTTTGTCTCAAGTTAGACAGAAACTTGCAAATCAGTAGGTTACAGACATTATAAATACTCCTGAGAGTAGAGAACACCATTGGAGGCTATATTTTAATATATTGAAATAAACTGAACAATAGAAATTTTATGCAATATAATGATGGAGTATTTCGGTAGACCAAGTTTTAAGCAGGCCACCTGTATGCAAAAGTTGACATCGGAAACGTACATCGACTGATCAGTATATTCACTTTCTTAAGTTTCATCCACTTACAATATAAACGAAATCTTCCTAGATGTGTTGGTTCATTGCGTCAGAGTTTTATTTGTTCGGATGAAACATTCAGCGAAGAAATCAGCAATATTCGTGATCTGTTAAGCAGAAACGGATTTCGAATCAAATTTTTGAACAAACGCATGGATTTAGCAATTGAAAAGCCCAGTGTGTCTACAGTTTCGAAAAAAATTAGTGTCATTAAGACTGCAATTCGCAAGAGATTTTAATAGTAAGATTGTATCAAAAGGTTTGAGAAGGGCCTTTTAAAGTTATGGAAGTTAGATCTCTACCTTAATTTCATCGACTTCGGAAAGGCCTTTGATAGTGGCATCTGCGAAGTAATTTGGAAACTAGTTCAGTATTATGGAGTGCCACAAATATTTATCAACCTTATTCAGCAGCTATATGACAATGCAACATGTTCCCAACTAAGCGAAGCTTTTGAAGTGAAAGCTGGAGTAGAACAAGGCTACCTATTACCACCGGTGATATTCCTATTTCTGGTGGACCGCATTATGCTTCAGGTGGTAGGGAGCGAGAAGAGACGAATACGCTTGACCGATAAGTATACTCTAAAAGATCTGGACTTCACAGACGATTTATGTCTAGTGTCACATAAACTCCGAAAATGTACAGGCGAAAACTAACAAGTTAGCACATTGAACAACTAAGATGGGAATTCAAGTAAATGTAGAGAAAACAGAGGTGATAGAGCTACCCGATGACCAACGACAACAACAATGGGAGCACCCAATCACGTATCATTTGAAAGTTAGATACCTTAGGCAATAAATATTGTATTGAAACCTGTATATTGTCAATTTGTTAGTGACCTAATGTTTACGTAAAAGAATTTTTTTTCTATTTCCATATATTTTAGTGTTCGAAAAATACTGAATATTCGTCTATTTCCTTCTCCTGATGGTACACGTCGTTGGGATAAAAGTGTCAAAGATTTAAACTTGGAAATTCTTTGTGTTAGTCAGGTGAGAAATTCTCGCGCACCTTTATGTATATATATATATATATATATTCATTTTGTTTACGATTTATATTTTAATGATGAAGGTTTCAGATAGCTGGTTTTTGAATATGCCGGCATCTGGGATCTTCCAGGATGAAATGATCTACTCTTTAATGATATTTTGAAGATAGTCGGAAGTCTATTGCCTAGGCCCCCATAAACTATCTGGTACAGTCGAAAGTGGATAAGCTCCAATCTTCCTCTTGAAATTCTCTGATGTGTCTATGCGTTCATATTCTCCACCAGGTAAGTCCTGTTCACTGCCTTCACGCTCAGCGGTGTTCTTCACAAAAGTGAAAGAGTGAATTCGAACGTCCGATACTTACAAACGGACTGATGGACATTTAGGTTTACCTAGAAAATCCTGATTTCAAATCTATGGTGTGTACATGGACTCCAGAATGTGAACGGATTGAATGACATATCAACCTGTTTAGGTCACTGGAAACCAATGAAGAAGCAGTTCCTGAGGCTACTTCACTGCCTTGTAGATCCGACTTCAATGTAAAGGCTCCAGGGATCTCCCTCTTAAGACAACCACCTGCTTCGGTCAGGGTGTCCGGGCAGTATCTCAGCCCTCTTACAAACCATAAGATTTTGTGTGGCACGTCTCTTGGTGTCCATAATCTACCAAGTTTTTGTTTCAACATTTATAATACCATACAGTAGCTTACTTATTAACGTTTAAGTATGCATTAGTTGAATAGAAATTCCCATTTGAAGACAGTTCAAAGTAGTCAAGAAGACTTATAGATCAGGTGGATGTTTTTTGTTGTTGATGTAATTGTGTTTTCTGAAGCAGGTGGTTTCAGTGAGGGGCTTCCATTATCCTTCTGGACAAAATCTTCAGCTTTCACTTCGAGAAGAACAGAGTCTGTTTTCAATTCTCCGCTTATCTCTTGCCCGTATAACCCCCACATATTAATATGAGTTTGTTACTACTTTATTTTCGTGTAACTTTTCACATATGTTAAAACTATTCGGATGGCACCTTTGACTCATCTCCAACTTCATGAATCCTCTCTTTTTCTTAAAAGTTATTTCCTTCTCATTTATCATTGTCTTTGAATATTTTGTTGAATTCCGGTATGATTCAGAATTGTTGATGATTTTATATTTTTCTGTAGTTCCATCCAGAAAACTAACAACTAGGGTCTTTTTCCCTTAGTATTTAGAAAGTTAAATGAATTATTGCTGCAACAATAAACAAATAAGTGACTGAATCTCGTTAATGTCATCATAAACTAAGGTGAAGCCGTGTCAATTAGGAAAACAAAATTCATAAAACTATTTCAAAATCTTAATGTAGATTACGTCACTAGCCAAAATCAGTTAGAGAATCACTGAAAACCAGAGAGAAATGGATGCCTATTTTGTTTTAGTTTGAAAGTCTCTTCAACAGTGTACACTCATGATCGCACCAAAACCTTCAGATTACGAGACTAGCTCGATGATCATTCAGCAATTGTCTGTGTTTTTATGACATTGTCAATGATCTACTTATAAAACTTTTAAGTAGGCAAATTTTATTTAGTAATTAATTTCAAATTTCTACTTGAGATTTTGTCGGACAAAATGAATCGGGAAATAAGTGTGTGCACTTTGTTTTATTTTACAAGCAAATAAAATAACTGGAAAAGTATTTTAATAGTTTTATGCCTAAGTTCACTTCAAATGTTAGTGGATATATTGTATCTTTAACAGAAACACTAATTTTGACTAGTTATTATCCGTTCTAAATTCAAATTGTCCAGAAGCACTTGAATATATGAATGCTGCTTTAAATATGCTTAACTGGGTAAACCTCTATTGGTCTATTTTTTATGAATCTGCTATTTGTTCAAACAGTCGTGTTTTTAAAACTGTTATTGTCTGGACTTTAACTTACACTTCAACGTTTACAAAACTGTCGCTTGGGTAAATGCTCGTCATCCACACACACTCATGTGGTCCGGGTTTGATACCCATTCGACTCACTTCTAAATCTCATCTGGCTTACTTGCTGGTAGCCAGCCTTAGAAAATGCAAGGTTGGTCGTAAGACTAGCAGTCACACCCTGTAAAAACAGCGCATCTGCGACTGATATTACAAAAAAGGAATCACTTGTGTAAAGTCAAGATTATAAGTGTCATTGTAATTAGTATGCTAAACATTACCAATTGCAAAAAAATTCAGTTACGAAATTTTTCCATGTTTATTCGTCCAACCAACAGTTTGGTATTACGTGGAAGAAATACAGAGATTGACAAGGTAGCTAAGAAAGTGTTGCACTTAAAATTAGAATTTCGCGATGACACTGTGAGTGAGTTATTTAAAAAATCGTCTGATTAGATCATTGAGGAAAGCATTCTTTGCTGCCACTTTACGAATAACCTACTCTAACCATCCACTGGTGCACCTTAATGTCAAGGAAATGTTACCTCGATTGTCTAATTCCATGTGTAATTATATGTTCACCTGCTCTTGTGGAGCTAGATACATAGGACGTTCGTCGAGAAACATATCCCTCCGCCGCGTTCGAGATCACCTCCCAGTTTGTCTGAGCAAAGGAGAACATAGAGGTATTAATTCTTTGATATTGCAACTTATTGTAGACACAGACCACGCAGCATCTGATACAAAGTTAACCAAACGGGATACGAGTGCATTTGCTTTGGATAGCAGAGGCTTTGGCAATACATAACATAAAGCCAGAACTTTGTGTACAAAAACAATTTGTACGATCTCTTTCTTTACTATGGTCTTGATTTTACTATGTAATTCACATAACAACTTTGTTATCCTTCTTTATTTCATGTTCCATTTTTGTTTTATTTCATTTCACTTTATGTTATCATATTCTAACATTTTATCTAGTCTACTACTTTGACAACATTTCATTCATCCTATGTTTCCACCATATTATATTCACATATTCACATTTCCGAATGTACTTTATTTTCCGATCATCTATTTCACACACGTGTCTACTGAACTTTAGGTTGACCTCTGTTTATTTAGTCATTCATCCATCTATCTAATCAATTGTGACTCATAATCCTATACACCAATATTATTATAGCACTTTAGTATTTCCACTCACTGTCAAACTTTAACACACACACACACACACAAGAAAACTGATAGTTATTGTCAATTGTAATTCATATATATATATATATATATATTCTTCGCTGAATTCTTTGTTTTTACGTCTCAATGGGGATTATTAATTTAGTTTGATATTAATCACAAAATTGGACAAAAGTATGTAGTATTTCATGGGCAGTTGAACTGCGAACGACTACAAAGCCATCTACGTTCTCTCTTCGTTCCGGAGAGGGGAAGACCCTGAAAATTGTATATCTCAACTTAGTTTGCGGCGACGGTAAAATCCTCATACGGACATAAATTCAGAAACCACTTCAAACAGGTCATCTGTGGTCGGTCTCAAGCAGTTATCCCCTGGATTCCGCAGTCACTCAATACTAATACTGTTTCTATCTTAGGTGTTTTAAGGAGGGGTCAATTTTCATGATGTACGCAGTCGGGAAGTAACAACCGCTCAGATACACTTCCATAAATACACAAGGCTTTCCTTGTCATCACCCACATCTGTTTCACTGCTTGAGTTTGGATAAAACACCAGCAATGAAGCATATGATTGGATTCAACGACAACCTCTTAACTGTTTGTTGGATAATATCGATTTACCAATGTGAAGTCGGTTCTTCTATACGGGTCAGAAACTTGCATTGCGTTTCACGAAAAGGATTTCCAACAGGTTGCAGACTTTCATCAACAGCTGCCTTCACCACCTACATACTGAAGATCAAATGGCCAGCCAGAAAGAATAAGCAACAAGAAACTATGGGAACAAACCAACGAAGATCCGATCGCTCAACAAATATGTAGGAGAAAGTGGAGATGGATCGGGCATACATTGAGGAGGCCGCCGAATGACATCGCACTCCATTCTATTGCTCGAGTGGAATCCAAATGGGAAGCGACGAGTGGGTCGTGTGTTCGAGGGTGACATGGAGGAGATCGTGTGAGGAGGAGATGAGAGAGTTTGGTCAATCGTGGATCCAGCTGAAGAGGACAGCAGAAAAGAGAACAAAAGGGAGATGTCTTGTTGAAGCCCTATGTCCGACTTGGAACGCAAGGGAATAATAATAATATAATCGATTTACCTTAAGTTCACAGATGCATCCAGTATGAGACCGTTTTTACTTCGCATAATTTATTAAGTACCTCGAATTGTAAATACATTTTTTCTCTCCTTTGTATGCAGTTGTTACTGGGGCGTTTTAAATCCACTAAACTTGTTATCAGATTATTTATTTCTGCTATTCTTGGATAGATATGTAATGTTAAAAAAAATATGTTCTATCGTTATTACCATTTCAAATTATTTTCTAATGAATTTTGATTTTCAGTTTACACTTTATAGTGAATTGAAAGGTAATAAATTGGATTTTCATTGCGCTATGGATCCAAAATTATCCAAAGATATGTATTCACAGCTTGTCAATCAGTTAAGGAAAAACTATGTAGAAGATAAAGTTAAAGGTAAAGAAAGTAAATGTCAGATTTATTGTTCAGATAAATGTGTGTAACTGTTTTTTTTTTTACAGAGTTTACTTTTTTGTACTTTGATGGTTCAGTAGCGATTAGTTTAGTTTTTTTACGGTTGGTTGGTTGCTAGCACCCATGCTCAACCTTGCCTCTTTTGTGAGCTTAGAGCTAGCCAGCAAAATAGGCGATATTGAATCTGGAATCAAAAGTGGGATTACAATCCACTCCTAGAGGGAGGATTGTGACCTGGGCGCGCAGCACCTTAAATCGATGGGACATTTTGACTGGGGCATTCATTCTTACTCCAACATGTGAACACAGCCTAGATTGGCTCAAAGCACTTTTGTCTATATGTGCACCTCAGAGTGTTAGAATATATTACCTGCGTGTGTCTCGGTGGTTGACGCACATGGTCCTTTTTCGATTCCCTGCCGATTTACTCCTAAATCTCGCTAAGCGACTAGTAATTCTGGTAAAGAGGGAAGGTTAAGCATGAAGCTAGCAACCTCAATCCGTAAAAATGACACCACCGCTACTAAAATTACAAAAACTCAAGTTTGAAGCCCTATGTTCCACTCGGCACACAAAGAGACGGAAAAATATAAATATGTGTAGACACAGAAGTAGGTTAACTTTAAACTGACCGTACGAGATTCAAGTTCCAAAGTCTTGAAGCCACAAACGTTCCTCTTTACGAGGTAAATTGTTTAAAAAAGGCAATCACATTAGAGGCTGTTTGCTTGAATATTAATACTTATAACTCATCAGAGGGTATTAACTTAGGAAAAAGTTCTAAACGTAATTGTCAGTTATTTTTTGACTGAGAATATATGATATGAGCTATTCAAATAAATTACAATGAATGTCTCTTAAGTCTAGTGCACTAAAAAGGCGGTGTTTCGAGAAAAGCTCTGGGTCGAAATCCAATGATTCGAGATTTCCGACTGTTATCAATTCTGGAAATAATGCTGTTACTGTTTATTCTCATCAGTGAGTAACTGTTCTTCTGACCAACTTGTTTTGCTGATATTTCTGACTATGGAAATGAGTCTAGGACCCTGTGCACCTGTGCGTCGGTGGTACAGCGCTTAGGACTCTCGCCGACCATGCACATGTTCCGGAGTTCGACCCCCTGCCGACGCACACCTGATATCTATGGTCGGCCTGCAAAATTTGGGCTACGGATATCATATGCTGAAAATTCCATACTTGTACCAAAACTACTGTGTGGTTTCAAGCTGTGATCAAAAAATAAAAATACATATCGAAGTGAGCTGGTTACCATTCAACATGAAGGCTGAGGTATATTGGTGTAGTTGTGTGTCTAAGCTGGTTGGTTTACTTGCGAAGCTTTCACTGTTTTTCTAGACTGCAACCAAGTTCATCAAGAGAGATAGTTATATCATTTGCAAAGAATTCCTGTAAGTTCACTTCATATTGAAGCTTGCTGTGAAGATGTTGTCTAGATTGACAATGGAAACTTTGTCTAGCTCAGAGAAAAAAAACTACACTAATATCATCCACCTGAGCTGTGAACCTTCCCAATCATTTCTAGACTTTTTTTATTCCTTTACGTTCCCAGTGGAACATAGAGCTTCAAGCTAGAGGCTTGAAGTTTCTGTAGCAGTGGTGATTATTTTTACAGGATGGGTTTGCTGGCCTCATGCTCAACCTTCCCTCTTTACCAGTCTTACTACTGACTTAGCGAGGTAAAGGAGTGCGTCTGTGGGCGGGGATCGAACCCCGGACCAAATGCGTGGTCGGCGAGCACTCTACCGCTGTATCACCGACGCATAGACTGGTATTATGTTATTATTATTCCGTTGGCTTTCGAGTGGAACATAGGGCTTCAACAGCACATCTCAATTTCATTCTGTCCTCTACAGTCATCTATAGATGGCTGTACGATTACCCGTAAGCTTTCATCTCCTCTTCACACGATCTCCTCCATAATCACCGTCGAACCCATGCCCAACTTATCGTTTTCCATTCGGGTTCTACTCGAGAGTTCGCCTTGCGCGTGATGTCACTCAACGCTTTCTTCATCGTGTGTCCTATGTATCACCATTTTCTTCGACATATTTGTTGGGCGATAGGTTGTCAGTTAGTTCCTTCGCCTGTCAGAGTTCCTTATTGCTAATTCTTTCTGGCTATATCTAATTTTCATTATGGATTCATGTGTGTGTTTCAGTACTAAAGATTTCAGTAATATGTTAAATAGGGTATGCAAAACCATTCATAAACAGTCGTTTTTAACTTTGTAAAATATACACTATATTATTGTTATTGTTTTTTTTTGTTAAATCTTTTTTTTCCATGATATAAAGATGGAGTTTTTGGCGCCATGATGGACGTCAGTCTCATTAATGATGGACCTGTTACTATAACACTTGATTCAAAACCAGAAATTAGTAAAACTAGCACAACAGAAACATGTGACACTCAAAGTCCGAATGAATAATTAATAATTTCTCTCCTTTCAAACATTATTTTCAACATATTTTTAAAAAATTTTAATTTGTTTTTCAATTTGTCATATGTCAAAAATGTTTGAAATGCAATTGGGCTTAATGGTCTCTTTTTGTTTTCACTAATTAATCACATGTTTAACACTTAACGTGTATTTAGTTTCATGATTATCAGATTTTGTACTGGAAGCTTTTATAGACATGTGATGGAATAACTGAATAAGTAATTCCAATTGTTAGATTTACGTCACGAACCAATATCAGTTAAAGAGACCATTGAAAACCAGGAAGAACTGGATAGCTGTTTCGTCCTATTTGAGACTCTTCAGAAGTGCGCACCGGATTCGAAACTTGGTGGGGTAGGGGGTACGCATTGCTGAGGCGTTCCAAAATAGGACGAAACAGAAGTCCAGTGCTGTCTGGTTTTCAATGATCTCTCTAACTGATGTTGGTTCTTGACGCAAATCTAACTTGTGAACTTAATCCAAAAGTAAGGTTGGAGTGTCGCCCATCGTTTTAATTAAAGACCCGACCGATAGCTGCTACCTTGACGTGGTGGTCGGGTTTGCACATCGCGATGACCCAACAAGCTACACTGGCTGGAACCAATGTTCCTGCAGGTCCTACCATGCCGGTCGGTTGTTAGGATAGCGATTAGAATAAAAGGAGTTACCGGCATTGTATAAGAATCTTTCCTACACTACGCTGGGGATCTGTGGGCGAAGTCGTACTGCTGGGGAACAGGATTGTAACAGCAGTAAGGTGTTTCCCTCAAATGACCAACATGCCAGCTATGCTGTCTCTCCACTCCGGAGAGAGGGGGTTAGAAAAGTTCGACCCCGAAAATTGTACATCCCGACTTACCCTACGGTGGTCCGTAACCGGCGGTAAGTTTACTAATACGGAACCAATCCCAGAAACCAGTTCATACAGGCCGTGTGTGACCGGCCTCAAGCAGTTGTCCCCTGGGCTCTGCGGTCACGCAACACTAACCCTCTCTCTGTTTCAGGTACCCGAAGAATCAATCAACTTCCACGGTGTGGGCAACCGGGAAGTAACAACCGCCCACACACTTCCAAAAGCATACGAAGCCTTCCTGAGCATCATTCTCCTTTACTCACATCACCCTTCCTTCAATTAAAGAAGGCAGCTGTAATTACTAGAACTTTAGTATTTTGGTCTTAATTTAGGAAATCAATCGATGCGTTCATCTGAATAGAGCTTTTCAAACCTCCCCTAGTAACTAACGTACAGTCAAAAAACTGTGTTCCAACAATATTAACATCGGGAGTGTGGATGGAGTTCCCATCGATGACATTGGTTGGTGGTCGCGCTAAATCACGAATTGGTAGAAGTTAGAATTCATGGACTGGCCATTGAATTGGGTCCCAGTGGCTGAATGGTATTCGAGCTTGCCTTGTAACCGGAAAGTCCTGGGTTCGAACCCTGGTGGTGGGTGCGTACTGCCGATGATTCCCAAACTAGGATGAAACAGCTGGCTCTCCAGTACTCCCTGCTTGTTTTCAATGGTTCTCTAACTGCTATAAATAAATATCAACATCAAAACAAGGTTTGATGTCGTAAAATCTGTGGTACTATTGAACCATAATAAGTTATATCAAAAGTTCAAAACTACCTCAATAGTGCTGTCCGGCAGCTGTGCAGTCCAAAAAATATCTCAGTTACAGAATTAGCTGACTAAACAATAACACTGAACTACTTGAGAATCAATAAGAATATTTCATAACATGATAAGATCAATATTCTGTCTGCAAGAATGAAACAGAATAGACACGTTTTCAGAAGACAGTGCAAGGTCAAACTGCCACTTCATGGCGTAACCTTGAATTCATTCAAACGAAGTCGCAATTGCAAATCAATACATTATTGCTAACAGTCCACTATGATACAACAGAAAAGTGAAGCATTACGAATAGGAATCAGCCTAAAAGAAATCCAGTTAATGAGGATTGAGCCAAGAGAAGATATGGTAATATATTAGAACGGTAATATACAAGTCAGGGGAAAGGAGTAATTATTAGAAAACCAGTTGAAATTTTCAAATAAGTATCAGTGTTGTAAACAGATTTTTCAAGGGAGATTTTTATATATCAAAAATTCTGCTACACTAGCAACAACATCTTTAAATGCATCTAGTCATGGCTTTGGCTAAAAATTCTAAATTTGTCAAAAAATAAAGAAATAAATATATTTAGAAATCATTCGTATAACTATTTCACCCTGTAGTCACTTATACTAATCGCTTTGTCATGGATGTTTGATCGTGACCTCAAAATTTCCAGGCATTGTTTAAGTCTAAACGAAGAATAGGGTATATTTTGGAATTTTTTTCATATATTATCCAGAGTTTTTTATTTCCTTCACGTTCCCCGGTGGAACATAGGGCTTCAAGCTAGTGGCTTGAAGTTTCTGTAGCAGTGTTTATTTTACAGGATGGGGTTGCTAGCCTCATGGCCAACCTTTCCTCTTCACCAGCATAATTTCTGGCTTAGCGAGATAAAGGAGTGAGTCGATCGGGGATCGAACCCCGGACCATGTGCACAGTCAGCGAGCATCCCTACCGCTATGCCACCGACGCAGAGTTTGTAATTTCACTATTTTCTTAATCAAACAACATTTTACAAGTGGTAAAAAAAAGTAAATTAATCCAGCTAATCAAATGTGGTTGCTGTATAAGATACAATTTCTCACTTAATAATAATTTGCTTTATTCCAGAAACAGTACTAGTGGTACAGTGTGGAATTTTCAGCACACATCTACAATATTTGCATCTAATTTTATCAAACATTTAACGGAATATTTCAAAAATAAATATAAAGACAACAACAACAAAAAACACAAAAATAATTTTAAAAATGCGAAAAAATACCAAGAAGTAGAAAGGAAAATAAAAAGCACATAATAATATCTCAGTATTGGGTAGTGGAAGCTATGATATGATTATGCATGGTGACAGTAAAGCTATAGTCATACAAGAAGTTATGAAATGATATTTAAGAATGTTTATCGCCAAGATGATCAGTTAATTTGGTTGAAACAACACTAAACAAACATAAAATAACATTTCAGGGTTGTTTTTTTATTGTCAGCTCTAATGCGGTGTTTGTGGTGGTAGTGTGAGTAATCCTGCATAATACAAAATTTTAAGATGGTGATAATGGCTTTCACAACCATGATTGTCAGTTAATATTGCCGAAAAAAATAAAAAAAATATGAAAAAACAACCACAAAAGCTAATAATTACATGATGGCTAATGACAGGAAAATTTTGTAATACTCATAGTGCTAATATAGTCGGAATCAGTTAGATACACAAAAGAAGGAATACAGTAAAGTACAAAAAGTAAGTCAATGTTAATAATTTAGGTAGCTAAGTATGTTTAAGAAGGAGTTCACTATAGAATACAAAATAAGAGAGAAATAAAAGAGCCTAAAATTGTTATTAACAACAAAGCAAGTCATAGGTTTCGCGCTTAACATTGTCTCTGTCACTTAGAACACGGGCCAAGTATGGTATCGTTGAGTTCCTGTACTTGTTTGTACGAGCATAGATTATTTTATACTGATTTCTGGTTCTACTTGATGAGATACAAGGCGAGAGTTGGGAATAGAGGGGGTGTTGGGGGTCGGAGAGTATGGTTTTAGACCATTTTTCGCATGTATTCAGATGCCTGTTAACAGATATGCCAGTTATTCGGGTCATCAATTTTATTTACAGAGAGGCTAAAAGTATGCTCATTGTAACAATAGGGCTAAGGAAATTGCTTCTTTATATGTTTTAAGGATGATCAATTCATTTGTTGGCTATTCTGTAAAATTGACAATATCGTAATGGGAAGCACGGCGGAACCACTTCCTGTGGATTCGTCTGGAATCTGGCGATATTTACACAACCGACGGAGGTTGCATCTAAGATATGTGGATGATAAGTTTATTGTTATTATTATATTATTATTGTTTCCTTTAATTCCTACAGGAACATAGGGCTTCAGCCGTGCGTCTCCATTGCGTTCGGTTCTCTGCTAGAGTTTTCACGTGGCTTCAAGTCTGTCCACATGTTTTCATCCCATCTTCACATGACCTCCTCCAAGTCACCCTTGCACTGACGACCAACTCGCTGCTTCCCTTTCGGGTTCCACTCGAGCGATGGCTTGTCTAGTGATGTCACTTAATGGTTTCCTCAGAGTATGGCCAATCCACCTACCTCCATTTCTTCCTGCCTATTTGTTTCACAATCGGTTCCTGGTTGGTTCGCTCCCAAAGATCCCTGTTGCTGATCTTTTCTGACTGGCCGTCTGATCTTGAGTATTGAGCGAAGACAACTGTTAATGAAGGTCTGTAGTTTGTTTGAGGTGCTCTTTATGACGCACCAAGTCTCTGATCCGTATAGTAAGTAGCACTGACTTCACATTGGAGTTGAAAATTCGGGTCTTATTTTTCATGCTGAGTGCTGTTGAACTCCACACAGACTTGAGAATAATGAAAGCTTGCCTTGCTTTCCCGATCCTTGCTTTGATATCCTCGTCAGTTCCGTCGGCCTGTAGTTGAAACGATGCTTCTCAGGTAGGTGAAGGAGGTTGTTTCTTTCAGGTTCCTCCCATTTATGCTGATTGTTGTCTGTTGTTGTTGTTGCTGTTGGTGGTGTTGCCCAGGAATCTTCATCACTTCTGTTTTCTCTATGTTCACCTGAAGTCCTATCTTTGATGCTTCTTCTGCTAACTTGTTGCTTTTCACTTGCATATCTTTCAGTTTGTGGGAAATCAGACATATATCATCAGCGAAGTCCAGATCCTCCAAGTTTTTCGTTAGGGTCCATTTTATGCCTGTTTCCTCGCTGCCCGCTGTCTGTCTGTCGCATTATCCAGTCTACTGCAATCAGGAAAATCATTGGCGATAGTAGGCAGCCAGCTTGTCTTACTCCTGTCCTCACTTCGAAGGATTCCGTAAGTTTCCCATTGGGGATTACTTGGCATGCACCATTGTCGTACAGCTGTTGGATGAGATGTATAATTGTCGGTGGCACCCCGTAGTAGCGAAGTAGTTTCCAAATCACCTCTCGATTGACGCTGTCGAAGGC